ACTTGTGATCTCTGTCAAATAAATAAATAAAATCTTTTTAAAAAAATGTGGATGCAAATGTCCACAGAAGCACTATCACAATAGCCAGATGGTGCCCCCAAAATATAGTTCTAAGTGAAAGAAGTCAGGTGCAGAAGTTCATATATTGTATATTGTATGATTCCTTTTATACAAAGTATCCAAAAGAGCTAAGTTCATAGAAACAGATTTGTGATTGCCACGGTTGGTTGAGAGGGGAAAAAGGAGTGACTACTTACTAAATACGGAGTTTTCTTTTAGGATGTTGGAAATATATTGGAACTAGATAGATGTGATAATCGTATAATATTGTGAATATAGGACTCAGTTAAGTGTCTGCCTTCCATGATCCCAGCATCCTGGTATCGAGCCCCACATCAGGGTCCCCACTCTGTGGGGAGTCTGCTTCTCCCTCTCCCTCTTCCCCCTGTTTCTGCTCTCTAAGTCTTAAAAAGAGAAACTGCAAGGCAAAAAATAATATTGTGAATATAATAAATGCTAATTAATTATGTACGTTAATTCCCTAGGGGCACCTGGGTGGCTCAGTTGTCAAACGTCTGCCTTCAGCTCAGGTCATGATCCCAGGGTCCTGGGATTGAGCCCCACATCTGGCTCCCTGCTCAGCAGGAGGCCTGCTTCTCCTTCTCCCACTCCCCTTGCTTGTGTTCCTTCTCTCCCTGTGTCTCTCTCTGTTAAATAAAGTCTTTAAAAAAATAAAGTACCTAAAACTCTTTACTTTTTAATTGAGGTACTGGCATGTAACAGTTTCAGGTATACAACATAATTATTCGTTGAGAAATGACCACAGTAAGTCTTTTTTTTTTTTAAGATTTTACTTATTTATTTGACAGATAGAAATTACAAGTAGGCAGAGAGGCAGGCAGAGAGAGAGAGGAGGAAGCAGGTTCCCCGCTGAGCAGAGAGCTGGATGTGGGGCTCAATCCCAGGACCCTGGGATCATGACCTGAGCTGAAGGCAGGGGCTTTAACCCACTGAGCCACCCAGGCGCCCTGACCACAGTAAGTCTTAAAATGATTCATTTTTTGTTATGTGATTTTGACCTAAATATCCATTCAAAATATTTCTATTGACTAAAGAAGATGTAACTGAATCATAGTGGCATTAATTGTTGGTAGACTTAATTAGCAGATAGAAAAAAAGTTCTTAAACAAATGCTACAATTTAAAAATATGAATGGGGCACATGGGTGGCTCAGCTGGTTAAGCATCTGCCTTTGGCTTAGGTCATGATTCCAGGGTCCTGGGATTGAGCTCCACAATGGTCCCCCTCTGCTGTTCCCCCTGCTTCTCTCTCTCTCTCTCTCTCTGCTAAATGAATAAATAAAAATCTTTTTTAAATATATAAAAAATTAAAAATGTGTAGGCATGCCTAGATGGTTCAGTCAGTTAAACATCCAACTTGATTTCAGCTCAGTCATGATCTCAGGGTCATGAGGTTGAGCCCCGTGTTGCGCTCCGTGCCAAACACAGAACCTGCTTAAGATTTTCTCTCTCCCTCTCCCTCGGCCCCTACCCTACCCCCACTCACATGCTCTCTGTCTCTCTCAAAAAAATAGATAAATGAAAATAAAAATGTGTACCACGTGTGCTCATAAAGCACAGCTATGTAATAGTCCTTTGAAAAATAACTTCATATACAAAGAGATAGACCTGGACCAAAAGAAGAAAGATAATGGAAACAAATCACAGAAATTTTAGCGAATGGAGCTGCAAAATGAGATCTTTCAAAATCAGTCATTTAAAGAATTTAAGGACATGAAATATTTTGGATGATAACTGGAAATTATAAAAAATCAGATGGAAATTCTAGAACTGAAAAATACAACAAATTATAAACAGAATGGGCTTAGTTTGCTGAACAGCTAAAGGGAGTATTAAAAAATGGATGACAGGTTAGAAGAAAATAGTTACCTGCAGCATAACAAGATAAATGGACAAGAAACAAAAAAATGGTCTGGTGAAAAGGTCTAACAGACACATAATTAGAGCCTCCAAAGAAAGGAGAGAGAATGAATGAACCTCCGTAAATCTCAAGAAGGATGAACAGGAAGGTCATACCGAGGTACACCATAGTTAAAGTGCTAAAAGCAACAATAAAGAAAAAAATCTTATAAGTAACTAGAGAAAAAAAAGATAGGATTTTCATAGGAAAAATAATTGGGCCCACCCCTGCCTTTGCAACAGAAAGAAAGGAAACAGACAGTGGAATGAGAGCTTCAAAGTAATGAAGAAGGTAAATTCAGCAAGAAGACAAGGAGGGAGGGACACATGGAGAATACTGGTCAAGATGAAATTTTTCAGAATCCTGGTAATTAGCCAAAGGCTTGGAGTAATCCAAGGAGCATTTATTTATATTTTTTTAAAAAATGATGAATTTTGTAGCATTTTAACTTGACCTATTCTCATCACTCTCCCCAGCTCCTCATTACCCTTGAAAACCAACAGTCCCCCAATCACAGTGAAAACCAGTAACCAATAGCAGCCACTGCCTGGGGTAGATTAGATTTGGAGTCCCCCGAAAACACCATTCTCAGTAAGTGTCATTATTTGACCCATCTGGCAGTTCTCTGGAAACCCTGCATTCAAGGGTCTGTCTTTATTTGACCTGACTCTGACCTTGCTCAGTGTGAATAGCCTTTCTCCTGGGGCCATTTGTTGAAAACAAGCCACAGCCATGGTTTTCAGTGCACCTACCTGGGTTAGTGATCTTCCATCTTAAGAAAGTTGAAAAAGAGGGGCGCCTCGGTGGCTCAGTCGATTGAGCTTCTGACCTCAGCTCAGGTCATGGTCTTGGGGTCTTGGGATGGAACCCCAAGTCAGGCTTCCAGCTTGGTGGGAGTCTGCTTGTCCTCCTGCTCTCTCTTGTCCCTTCCCCATCCTTTGTCTCTTTCCCAAATAAATAAAATCTTAAAAAAAAAAAATAAGTTGCAAAAGAAATGCAAACTAAACCCAAAACAAACATAAGGAAGGAAACGATAAAGATTAGAGTGGAGATAAGTGAAATAAAAAATAAAGAATCAATAGAGAAAATAACTCATCAAATTCTATACCTAATGAAAATATTTCTTAGGAATGATGGTGCATTAAAGGCATCTTATGTAAGGGCGCCTGGGTGGCTCAGCAGGTTAAAGCCTCTGCCTTCGGCTCAGATCATGATCCCAGAGTCCTGGGATCGAGCCCTGCGTCGGGCTCTCTGCTCAGCGGAAAGCCTGCTTCCTCCTCTCTCTCTCTCTCTCTCTCTCTCTCTCTGCTTGCCTCTCTGCCTACTTGTGATCTCTGTCTGTCAAATAAATAAATAAAATCTTAAAAAAAAAAAAAGGCATCTTATGTATCTAAAAAAATGACTGATTTTGTCACCACCAAACTGACACTAAAGGAAATATTAAAGAAAATAGAAATTTTAAGCAAAAAGAAAATTATACCAAATGGCATCTCAGAGATGTAGGAAAGAATAAAGAGCAATGGAAAATACAAATGGATTGGAAAGGGTAAATAATCATTGTGAAACAATAACAGTGTTTTGTAGGGCCTAAAAAAATTCTCAAGAATAGTGTATAAGATGGAAGAAAGTTAAGAGGCATTAGGGATTCTTTTTTATTTTTTTAAAGACTTTATTTATTTATATGAGAAAGAGAGCATGAGCAGGGGGAGAGGCAGAGGGAGAAGCGGACTCCTGGATGAGCACAGAGCCAGACTGGGGACTCGATCCCAAGACCCCAAGCTCCTGACCTGAGCTGAAGTCAGATGCTTAACAGACTGAGTCGCCCAGGCGCCCTGTGTTAAGGGGTTCTAAGATCCTTTGATTGTCTGGGAGGTAGTAAAGGTAATAAAGCCCCACCCTCAGTTTGGTCTCTATCATTAGACCATTATTTTCTTTCAGCACTTGAAAGATGTCACTCACTGTCTTCTGGTTTGCAGTTCCAGCAAGAAGGCTGGTATGTAATTCCCATCTTTGCTCTTCTGCATTTAATGTCTTCTTTCTCTGGCTGCCTTCAAAATTTTCTTTATGACTCTGGTTTTCAGTAGTTGTAATATGGAGGGCAGGGCAAGGCGCTAGGTTGCTGGAGGGCTGCTCCGTCCTGTCTGTGCAGCCTTTCCTGTGGTCCTGAGCCCTTGAAGGGTCTTTCTACCATGGAAGGATGCTATTCCTTGATTCTTGGGGTTTCCTGGTGGGTGGAGGATTGAGGTGGAGGTTGAGGAAGGTTTTCTGCTGTGCAGGTCCTGCCCTACTCCTAAGCGGGCCCTATGCCCCAAGTCTTGGGGGAGTTGGGTCTTCTCGGTGATCCTGAGAGTAGCCAATCGCCCACATCTTTTGCAGGTTCTTTGCAGGGAAGAGTGTCCTGCCCTTCCCCTAGGACTAGAAGTTTTGTTTGTTTGTTTGTTTGTTTTTACCTTTATCTCAATCACCGTGGTCTTCTGTGGTCTTCGCGTGTTCCCTGCAAGGGTGCTGCCCTTCTCCCTAGGGCTTTTGACTCTAAGGAAGTAGGGTTTGGGCAGAGCTCCACGCCTTTCTTGTAGTGATGGCCAATCCCTTTTCAAGCCTGCATCTCTGCCTCTGGTCTCTCTGGAGCACCTGGTAAATTCTGAGAAGAGCCTGCTAGTGGGTGTAAATTCCCATTGTGTCTGCACTTTCAGGGATTCTACACTTCTTGTTACCTCACAGTAAGCCTTTGGCAGTTCATTAAAAATTTACCTGAATTCTTCTTACAGGTATACATGGTATCTGGTGTCTCCTCCTGCCAGGCTCTGCCACAGGTCAGCTACGGCTCTTCCCTGTCTCTCCTTGGGAAGGTCTGTCTCTCCTGAGAGTACTTGGCTGACCTGAAACCTTAGCTCTTGGATGTGTTCAAGAGAAGTTATGTGGTTTATCTCATTTTTTTCTTGTAGAGCTATCTCCCAGGCGGGAGCAGACTCAGTGTAATCTCGCATTAACATTGTCTAACTTGTCGGACAAACAGTGGAAGTGAGTTCAATAGTGATTTCCTTTTCAAATGTGTGCCTATTTTGTTCCTATTCTACTCATCTTAAACAAAATTATTATATGTTTACTTCCATTTCTTCTGCCCCTTGCCAGTCAAGAGTCTTTTCCCAGTCTATCTGGTCACCCTTCATGCCTTTAAGATACTTCCCCAATGTGTACTTGAAGAGACCTAGGAAAATAAAAATTTGATCTGATATCATTTTAGGTTTACTCTAACCTCTTTATTCAAAAGCTTTTGTTTTGAAGGAAGCTGAAAATCTTGTTGCTTTACCTGGGCTCGGCATAGTATCTGATGAAGTAAATGGCTTTGGTTGAGCAGGAACAATGGTAGCAGATCTCACTTGGGACATTTTCCCCTAAAGAGGAAGAGAAAGAAGAGAAACTGGCAAAGACCACTTCATAGATACATTCTGTTAAAAATGTTATTTTAGGGGCGCCTGAGTGGCTCAGTAGGTTGAGAGTCTACGTTCAGCTCAGGTCATGATCTTGTGGTCCTGGGATCTAGTCTGGCATCCGGCTCCCTCCTCAGCAAGGAGTCTGCTTCTCTCTCTGCCTCTCACTTGCCCTTCCCCACTGCTCATTCTCTCTTTCAAATAAACAAATAAAATCTTAGAAAAAAAAAAAGAAATTGCAGAATCATTATATTATATGCTTGAAACTCATATAACACTGTGTGTTAACTATACTGGAGTTAAAATTAAAAAGTTGATAAAATTTAAAAAAAGGAAATAGGGGCATCTGGATGGCTCAGTCGTTAGGCATCTGTTTTCGGCTCAGGTCATGGTCCTGGGTTCAAGCCCTACGTCTGGCTCCACTGGGCCAGCTTCTCCCTCTCCCCTGCCTGGTGCTCCCCCTACTTGTGCTCTCTCTCTGTATCAAGTAAATAAAAAGAAAAAAAGAAGAGGAAGAGAGAAATTTTTTTTTACCATTAGATATTCTTTCCTGCTTTGTCAAAGATTAACTGACCATATAGTTGTGCATTTATTTCTGGGTTTTCTATTCTGTTCTATTGATCTATGTGTCTGTTTTTGTGTCAGAACCACACTGTTTTGATTACTATAGCTTGGTAGTATATCTAGAAATCTGGGATTGTGAGATTTCCAGTTTTGTTCTTCTTTTTCAAGATTGCTTAGGCTACTGGGGTCTTTTGTGGTTCCGTACAAATTTTAGCATTGTTTATTCTAGTTCTGTGAAAAATACTTGTGGTATTTGATAGGGATTGCATTAAATCTATAGACTGCTTTAAGTAGTAGATATTTTAACAATATTTGGTCTTCTAGTCCATGAGCATGGAATGTCTTTCCATTTCTTTGTGTCATCTTCAATTTCCTTACTCAGTGTTTTATAGTTTTCAGAATATAGGTTTTTCACCTTTTTGGTTAGGTTTATTCCTAGGTATATTATTACTTTGGGTGCAATTGTAAATGGATTATTTTCTTTTTAAAGATTTTTTTTATTTTTTAAAAAAAGTTTATTTATTTTAAAGAAAGAGAACATGCAGAAGTTGGGGGACAAAAAGAGGAGGAGGGAGAGGGACAAGCAGACTCTGAGCTGAGTGTGGAGCCTGACTTGGGGCTCAATCCCATGATCCTGAGATCACAACCTGAGCCCAAATCAAGAGCTGGACATCTAAGCACCTGAGCCACCTAGGAACCTTTCAAGATTTATTTATAAGCAATCTCCACACCCAACATGGGACTCAAACCCACAAGTCCAAAATCAAGAGTTGCATGCTCTATCAACTGAACCAGCCAACATCTCCCTGACCCCCAGACTGTTTTCTTAATTTCTCTTTCTGATGTTTCATTATTGGTGTATAGAAATGCAACAGATTTTTGTACATTGATTTTTGTATCCTGTAACTTCATTGAATTTGTTTATCAATTCTAGCAGTTTCTTGGTGGAGTTCTTTGGGTTTTCTATATATAGTATCATGTTGCCTGCAAATAGTGAAAGTTTTACTTCTTCCTTACTGACCTGGAGTTCTTTTATTTCTTTTTGTTGTCTTCTGTGGCTAGGACCTCCAGTACAATTTGAATAAAAGTGATGAGAGTGGACATCCTTGTCTTGTTTCTGATCTTAAGGGAAAACTCTCAGATTTCCCCACTGAGGATGATGTTAGCTGTGGGTTTTTTATATATGGCTTTTATTATGTTGAAGTATGTTCCTTCTAAACCTATTTTGTTGAGGGTTTTTTTTTTTAATCATGAATGGATATTGTACTTTGTAAAATGTTTTTTTTAACATCTCTTAAAATGATCATATAATTCTTATCCTTTCTCTTATTCATGTGATGTAGCATGTTGATTGATTTGCAAATATTGAATCAGACTTGCAACACAGGAATAAATCCCAATTGATTGTGGTGAATGATTTTTAAAATATATTATTTTATTTGGTTTGCTAGTATTTTATTGAAGATTTTTTTTAAGAGATAGAGGTGGAGGGTGTAGGAGGGGTAGAGGGAGAGGGAACAAATCTTAAGCAGACTCCACACCCAGTGGTGAGCCTAATGCTGGGCTTGATCTTACAACCCCAAGATTATGACCTGAGCCAAAATCGAGAGTTAGACGCTAAACCGACTGAGCCATGGAGGTGCCCTTTATTGAGGATTCTTGCATCTGTGTTCATCAGGGATATTTGTGTCTGGCTTCCTTCACATAGCAAAGTGTTCACATAGCAGAAACAAAATAAAAAATAAACAAGTGGGACAACATCAAACCAAAAAGCTTCTGCACAGCAAAATAAATCATCAACAAAGTGAATGAAGAACCTGTAGAATGGGAAAAAATGTTTGCAAATTATATATCTGACTAAGGTTAATATCCAAAACATATAACAAATTCATATGATTCAATAATAAAAAACAAAGTATCCACTTTAAAAGGGAGCAAAGAACCTGAACAGACATTTCTTTCTTTCTTTCTTTCTTTCTTTTTTTTAAAGATTTTATTTATTTATTTGACAGAGAGAGATCACAGGCAGGCAGAGAGGCAGGCAGAGAGAGAGGGAGAAGCAGGCTTCCTGCTGAGCAGAGAGCCCAATGCGGGGCTCGATCCCAGGACCCTGAGATCATGACCCGGGCCAAAGGCAGAGGCTTAACCCACTGAGCCACCCAGGCGCCCCTGAACAGACATTTCTACAAAAAAGATTTATGAAAGGCTAACAGGTACATGAAAAGGTGCTCAACATCATTAGTCATTAGGGGAATGCAAATTCAAACCACAATGAGCTATTACCTCCTGCCTGTTAAAATGACCATCTTAAAGAAGAGAAGAGAAAATAAAAGCTGGTGTAGATATGGAGAAAAGGGAATGCTTGTGTATTGTTGGTGGGATCATAAATTGGTAAGGCCACTGTGGGAAACAGTATGAAGAATCCTCACAAAATTTAAAATAAAACCACTATATGATCCAGCAATTCCTCTTCTGGGACTATATCCAAAGACAGTAAAACCCTACCTCAAAAGGATATCTGCGCCATCATGATGTTCATAGCAGCATTATTTACAAGAGCCAAGACATGGAAACAACTTACGTGTCCGTCAGTGGATGAATGGATAAATATAGGGAATATTATGCAGCCACAACAATTAAGGAAATCTTAGTTTCGTGACAGCATGAATGGACCCTGAAGGCATTATGCCAAGAGAAATAAGTTAGACAAGAAAAGGCAAATACTATGTAATCTCACTTAAATGTGGAATCCAAAACAAAACACCTCTACAAGAAAGAGAGAAAAATGTGGCTACCAGAGGTAGGGGGTCAGAGGTGGGGAATTGAAGGAAGATGGTTAAGAGGTACAAAATCCTAGTTATAAGATAAATATTCCATTGCTAGGATGCCCCACATTTTATTTATCCATTTATTGGTTGATGGATATTTGGGTTATTTCCACTTTTTGGGAATTATAATTCTACTATGAACATATATTTTCATTTTTGGGGTATGTACATAGAAGTGGAACGACTGGATCATGTGGTGACTCTATGTTTAAATTTTTCAGGAACTGTCAGTTTGTTTTTTGGAGCAGCTGCTTCATTTTACGTTGCCACCAGCAATGGATGGAGATTCCAAATCTCCACAACCTTACCAACATTTGTTATTTCCTGATTAAAAAAATATATATATATATATATATTACAGCTCTGCTAGTGGGTAGGAAGTAGTACCTTATTGTGGTTTTGATTTGCATTTCCCTCATATGTAGTTACATAGTACATCTTTTCATGTACTTATTGGCCATTTGTTTTTTGAAGATTTCATTTATTTATTTATTTATTTGAGAGAGAAGGAGAACATGGGGGCAAGGGAGAAGGAGAGGGAGAGATTCTCGAGCAGACTCTGCACTGAGTGCGGGGCCCAACGCAGGGGGGTGTTTCAATCCACGACCTTGAGATCATGACCCTAGCAGAAACCAAAAGTCGCACGCTTAGCCGACTGAACCATCCAGGCGTTCCATCTGTTTGTATGCCTTCTTTGGAGAAATGTCTATTCAGATCTTTTGCCATTAAAAAAACTGGGTTCTTTTTTTTATTAGAGTTCCGTACTTTTCTAATTGGACAAATAAATAGCATAAGTTTCACCAAACCTTCCATGATCAGTACACCCACATTAAGTATGCTAAGTATGTTAGAGTAAGTATTTCATAGTATGTGAAATGCAGACATCATGAAAGCGATGTCATGGTGATTATTACCCACGTGTTCCAGAGCTCTGATCCCAGCCATGATGCAGGAGAGACATTTCTTATCTAATCTCATTAGCATTTTGCAAGTTAGTAAAGCCCTAAAACATGAATTAGATTTTGTCAAGTTTTAAGTTAAATGTAATACAGTGATTTGATATGTGACATAATAAGTGCTTTAGTCATCCCAATATTTGAGGGTAATAAAACTTTTACTGTAAGTAAAAATAGAACCAACTTGCTATAATAAAATCCACTGATGCTTTTTAAAAAAAATTTTTTCTTGTGATGAGAATTTTTTAAAAAAGATTTTATTTACTTATAGAGAGAGAGCTGTGAGACAGAGAGCACAAGTGGGGAGTGAGGGGGCAGGAGAAGGGGGTAGAGGCAAAGGGAGAGGGAGAAGCAGCCTCCAAGCTGAGCAGGGAACCTGAAGATACTGGGCTTGATCCCAGGACCCTGGGATCATGATCTGAGCCAAAGGCAGACTCTTAACTGACTGAGCCACCCAGGTGCCCTGATGCTTTCAAGCTTTAGTTAATTTGAAGTTTTACCTCTATGTATATTTAATTATTGAAAATAAGTTGATTTGTCTATTTGTAAAGTTTATTTGTCCTAATGCATTTAATGAACATACTGTTCATCTGTTACAAAAAAAAAAAAAAAGAAGTTTCAAAACAATTACCATAGATAAATTAGAGGTAAGACTCACCTTCTCTTCTTACAAAGGTTAGTCTCTTTTATAGTAGCAGTGACTAAAATAAATGGTGCCAAATTTTTGGACAGAGTCTTGTTTAATTCAGAATATAATTAAAATCTCATGTAGCTTTATTGGTTTTAGTATCCAGCAGAGAAAAAATATTGAAACTCCAAGAGATTTTGAATTAAATAGCTACAACAGTTTTGTTTTATTAGTTCTGACTGTGTGAAAAAAAATTATAAGGACAACTTCGGAAAAACCTAGTTCTTTTAGAGCCCCAAATGACTTTTAAAACAATAAAACAAACTATAAAACCTACACAAGTGATATTAAAATTATGTAGTTCAATAAATGTGACATTCACAAATGTGGTTGTAATTTTTTTTTTTAACTATAGCAAAATGAACATAGATCTGATGACTGGATTTAGAAGAGATGGTGTTATATAGCTTAACAGAATTAAGTGCTTCAATTTGCTGGTGAGCGTTATGTAGCAGAGCTGGAATGTTCTATCAATGCCTTTTAAGATCTCCATCTAACTCCCAGGGTTGTGGCAATCAAAGAAAGGGATGATGCTTCCTTTTCCTATACTAGTGATTATTTTCCTAGCATTTTAATATTTATTTTTGGAAGGCTTGTAGATTTAGATTTTTTTTTTTTTTTTTTTTTTTGCCTGATGGCTGAGTCATGCACAGAATAAGCTACAAACCCATACTATTTTTGAAGATGGAGCTTAACGGCTAGTGATTTACTATAAGGGCATTATATGAACTGATCCCCTCAATTGCTTGTTAGGTGGAAGGGGCAAGAAAAGAAGAAAAAGAAAGATGAGGGAAAGACATTTTGTGAAGAAAACAATAATCAGTCACCTGGTTAGTTCACTGAGGTCCCAATCTTTGAAGAGCCAAACATAACTTTTGAAGGTTCCTTTGAGCTTCAGATAATAATTGTCCTTTCTTTGTCCCCAAATCATGTCTCTGTTCTTGGTACACAGAACACACTTGATTTTCACAGTATTCCAGCACCTGGCTGACTTCTCCATCAGGCCCAGGGATGAGAATTAATAACTGGTGGAAAGGGCACAACATCAGACCGGACCACAGAGGGACCAATGATTTGTAAACAGGCCTCCATGATGGCTTCCAGGGACAATGTACTACCTGAACTTGTATGCAGATTTCACAAATAATTCAAATAATTTTTACCTTAAAAAAATGAGACTGCTTTCATTTCTTTAATATCTAAAATCATACTTTAAAAATTTTTTATACTGGAAAATTTCAAATCTACAAAGAAGCTGAAACTAGTACAATGCATATCAGTATACTCTTCACCTAAATTCACCAATGAATAACTTTCCAATTTGTTTTATCTCCTTATCTGTACATGTGTGTATAATGGTTTGTGTATATATATGTTATGTGTATGTATTGAACTGTATGAAAGTTACAGATGTCAAGACCTTCACCCCTACTTCAGTCCACACCTCCCAAAAATGAGGACATTTTACTCACAATACTAATGTCATCTAACTTAGAACTCATTTTTAGTTTTTCCCTTTTATCTTCTCAATTGTCTTTTATGGCTTTCTTTTTAAAAATCCAGAATCTAATTGGTTGGTGTGATATTATGAGAGGTTTCAAAAATCCTCATCCTCAACAATGTTTCATTTGATGGTCCTTTTTTTGTTGTTTTTAAAAAGATTTTATTTATTCATTTGAGAGAGAGAACACAGAGGGAGGGTGAGAGGGAGAAGCAGACTCCCCACTGAGCAGGGAGCCCATGTGGGGCTCGATCTCAGGACCGTGAGATCATGACCTGAGCAGAAGGCAGACGCTTAACCAACTGAGCCACTCAGACACCACTCACTTGATGGTTGAATTATTACATTTTAAAAATTTTATCAAAGTTTTTAATTTGTTAGCTGGCATCCTTCCAGCTTTACCATCCACCATCCCTCTCTCTCTGAGCATCACTATGGAGAGTGAGACTATGAACTGTTACATTCAATGTATTATAATCCAAAATGTGCTTTTGATAATTAAAGCACCTCAAATTTGGCCAATGGAAGACCCATCAGGGCGGGTCTGTCTTCATTCTGTGGTTTCTAGCACAAGATGCCTTGAGCTCACCTTGTACTTTCCCTGCCCCAGACCTAGAATCAGCCACTTCTTCCAGGACCTACTTATGCTATGAGTAGGTCACCCATCCACCTGGTTCAATTCTCCAAATATTCATAAAGTATACAGCAAGTTCTCCCTTCAACTCCACCTCTCTCTTCATGGGCAGCCGATGTTACTAGTTTTTTTGTGTCCTCTTCCAGTTTAGTTTACCTAATAGAACAAAGGCACAGATAAATACCCCGACTCTTTCCTAACGTTTTACCTCAAATGATAGCATATTACACTCACTGTGTTCGTCTGTCATCAGACTCGGAAAGATGCCTGTGACTCCAACCGCAAAAGACTAGGAGACTTTAGGCTAAGTTTCAGATTTTCAGAAAGTTCAGGGAGGATGATTTGACCAAAGCTGCACTGACAACGCTCACATGCTATTCCTTGAGTATTCGTCCCTCTCTAGGTTCTTTGACAACTTCTCATTTTTCAAACATCACTTCCTTGGAGAGTACTTTCCGTTCCTTAACACGCCCCCTCCCCCAACTAGGTGACGTCCCTGGTTATTAGGTTTCGGATCATTATGTACTTCTCCTTCCTAGCACACACATAAGTCACAGCATTAAAATTTGTTTCCTGCCTCCGTGAGGAACGGAACTACATCTGTCTTGTTCACTGCTGGCACATAGTAGTTGCTCAACAGAAATGTGCGCAGTGAAACTCGAACGCGGGCCAGCCGGCTTCCAGTCCACTCTTCTTTCGTCGGCGACCCCGCTTTAGTCGATGAAATTGTTCCAAGATGTAAATAAAACATCTCAATAGGAAAAGCTGGGAAATGTGTATTTCTATGATTAATGGAGGACCTTAGCAGAAACTGCTCACCGCGAGGTGTGACTACCGCAGGAGGGCGTCAATCAAGAAAATGCCCCCTTGGCCCTCAGGCGAGTGGAGCTGCACAGAGCCGAGGCCACAAGGCGTAGAGCCACGGATTCAATAGAAAACACGTGCAAAGCGGGAAAGCGGTGCTGTGCGCAGCTGCGACCCCCAGGACCCGGGGATAGGGGACACAGAGCAACTCCCATCGGGGCGGAGAAGACTGCACAACTTCTACCTGGCACTGTAAGACCCAGGCTTTCCCTGATTCCTTCCCAAAGCGGCTTCTGCCAGCGACCTCGCGGAAGTGGCCGAGTGCGGGGCCCCACAGATGCAAAGGGCTGGAGCGGCCACGAGCCCGGGGCACCCGAAGTCTCGTTGTCCTTACGCCAACTGGGACGTAGCTAAGGGCTAGAGCTCTCTCTTTGGAGCCGCCCCAGGAACTCAGGACATTCTCCGCTACGAGCTCCGGAGATGCCCCAGGCAACAGCCAGTGCCACCGTTACTCCAGAGAGCGCGCCGACAGGGAGAATACTTTCAGGCCGGCGAAGGGGCGGCTCTGCCGGTGGCCTCTCCTCCTGTCCGGCTCAAGCCTAGCTGCCCCGAGCCTGGGGCCGGCTACTGTCACCCTGAGCCCGGGCCCGGACGAGTGCCCCCCCGAGTTTCGGCAGAGTTGCCTCCCGGCAGGAGCTGGGACTACTTGAGTCCGTGTTCAGGCGCTACTTTCTTTCTGTCTCCCCACGACGGACGCGGCCTTAGGCTTTCTTCGAGGGTTTTCCTGGCCAGGGTGCCTGGCGCCCGGAGCGACTGCGGCGGCAACCGGGCACCGAGGCGCAGGGTCCCTGGAGCCTAAGGCGAGCGCGTCCTGGGGGGCGGGAGCTCGGCCGGCGGGGGCGGGCCGAGGGTGGGGGCGGGAGGCGGCTCCCGGGGCCCCGCGCCATTGGCCGCAGGGACCGGCGGCAGGAAGGGGCCAGAGAGCGCGGCCCCACCCCGTGGCCGGCAGAGCCTATCGCCGGGAGCGCGGAGCGCGGATAAATGTAGCGCCGCGGCGCGGGCCTCCAGCTCTCCGAGGGGTCGGAGCGCAGCGGAGCCATGCAGTACCCACACCCGGGGCCGGCGGCGGCGGCGGGCGCCGTGGGGGTGCCGCTGTACGCGCCCACGCCGCTGCTGCAGCCGGCGCACCCGACGCCGTTCTACATCGAGGACATCCTGGGCCGCGGACCCGCCGCGCCCACCCCCGCCCCCACGCTGCCGTCCCCCAACTCCTCCTTCACCAGCCTCGTGTCCTCCTACCGGACCCCGGTGTACGAGCCCACGCCGATCCACCCCGCCTTCTCGCACCACTCCGCCGCCGCGCTGGCCGCCGCCTACGGACCCGGCGGCTTCGGGGGCCCTCTGTACCCCTTCCCGCGGACGGTGAACGACTACACGCACGCCCTGCTCCGCCACGACCCCCTGGGTAAGGCGGCCGGGGTCATGGCGGGGCCGAGCCGCGGCGGCGGCGAGGAAGGCGCCACCCGGCAGGTGGCAGCGTCCAGGAGGCGGCGGGGGCGGAGGGGGAGGCAATAGAAAGTTGTGGCAAAAGCGATCGAAAAGCGGCTCTCGGGCGCGCGCGGGGACAGGAGGCGCGGGCCCCAGTGGCGCGCGGCCGTGCTGACCGCACCATGACTCAGATTGGTTTTCCTCCACCTTGCAGGCGTCGGGGCGCGCGGGCCCGGGCGAGACTTCTGGCACGGCCGCGGGGGCTGGCGGCCGAAGGCAGCCCCGGGCGCGCGGGTCGCTCGGGGTGGGGTCCCCTTAGCTGGAGGGACCGGGAAGGGAGTGCCAAGGCGCCCCGGACCAGCCCTGCGGGGTAGGGATAGCTGCTGGGCCCCGGTGGTTACGAGGCTGGACCTGGTTCAACAAGCTTGTGCAGTGAAAGAGCCTGACCCTTTCCGTTCATACAGGAAATCTTGAGTTCTCGATAGGAGTAAATCTGGTTTCAGAAGCTGTTAAGTGTTTTCCTGGCTGCATGAAGCAGACCCTTCCCCCGGAGTAGTGCACGCTGCTGATTATTTTATCGACATCCTCAATACAGACAAATTCAGGAAACACTCGACTTCTGATAGCCGGGATCCGTTTTTCTGATATTGTTCATTTCCTCTGTGTGGGATGTGACTTTATGGCAGCTAAAATAACCAGTTGCTTCCTTTTTTTCCCCCCTCCCCGAAGCTGTTTTGCACTAGTCTGAAGCCTGACGTAAGCAAAATCTGGAAAAAAAAAACAACAATGCCAGCTTTCAAAGTGTTTGGGGGCAGGCCTGCAGACCGACGGACCGACGGACTGACAGACATGTCTTTGGAGTAGGAAAGGCAGCCAGGACACCTAGGGCATATGGTATTCTCGAGGCTTGCCCCCTCAGCGCTCGGCCTAAGAAATAAGCCAACGGTGACCCGCACTCCGGGTGGCCCTTGTCGGCTCTGGCATCTGAAGCCCCCCTGGGTGGGGGGAGATAAAGAAACGGGGCTCTTTTTCCTTTGGGCACCCAGGGTTTTAAATTTACTCTCTGCTGTTGGCAGCTTCGGTGGGGACCCTAGAGACAAACTAACATTTTAATGCCTTCATGTTAATGACGCGGCCTCTAGCTCAGCCCTCCACCTCCTTTCTCATCGTTAAGATTTGAAGGGGATTATATTTTAGCCTTTTTTTTTTTTTTTTGGTTAAAGTGACTGTCTATTTGGTTCCAGCTTCGAGGGTTCGGTGCGGTGGCCCCGGCGTGGCTCTGTGGGCCTGCTGGGGCGGGAGCCGGACCCTCAGCGGGGCCCGGCCTGGGGCGAACGTTTTCACAGAGCGCGCCCTGTGTTTCCTTGGGTTACTGCTGGGACCGCGCAGGAGGAAGCAAAGGGCTTTTCGAGATAGACCAACAGGAAACACATTGACGGAAATGTTGCCATAGCCCACGGGGTAGCTTTAACTGGCCACCCCCGCCGCTGGGTGTGAAATCAGAGGAGGCAGCAGAGCGCTGGGGCCAGGATTGGAAGCTCCGCGAGCGGCCTCACGTCGGCGCCCGGGCCCGAGGACCTCCTGAGCAGAGTCCCTTCGGCGGCGCCTGGCCGGGACGCCTTGGGGAGTGGAACAGCCCGGGTCCTCCCCAAGACACGCACTCGGGTCTTTGGAAAGTACGGCTCACCCAGGGAGAGGGCCTGGAGGTGCAAAAAGTTCTGTCGAAACTCGAGAGTGACTTCTTAAAGAGTGTCGGGATATTTTAGGCTCGGTTTATAGTGGCTGTTATCTTGGGGTTCCAAAGATCTGTGCGTTTGAAATCAGCTGTGGGTGTGATGGCTGTTTGTGTGCGTCTGTGAGTGTACAAGGTGGTCTACTTGCCTGTGCTGTGCGGTGTGTGTGCCTACGGGTCCTTGGGTATGCATGTGTCTTGGTGCGAACGTATTGGGTCCTTGTGGGTGGGTGTATGCGAACAAGTCTGGCTGAGTGTCCTTTTGCGTCCCCTACTCCCCTTTGTCACCTCCAGGGCCTGGCCGCTCCAGGGCTGTCCCTAACTGCTGCTCTCGCTGCCCGCAGGCAAACCCCTGCTCTGGAGCCCTTTCTTGCAGAGGCCTCTGCATAAAAGGAAAGGCGGCCAGGTCAGGTTCTCCAACGACCAGACCATCGAGTTGGAGAAGAAGTTTGAGACCCAGAAATACCTCTCTCCGCCCGAGAGGAAGCGTCTGGCCAAGATGCTGCAGCTCAGCGAGAGACAGGTGAGCGCGCCTGCGGGGCTCGGGGCAGAGGCCTGGGGCGGCGGTCTCGGGGCGGAAGACCGACGTGTCGCCAACCGTGCGCTCGGGCGTGCCGCGTCCCGCTATCCAACGCCCGGAGCTCCGGCCGGCTCGACAGTGGCCCAGCAGCTTCTCCGTGATGCCCCATGTCGCGTGAGTTCATGGCAAGTATTTTTTTCTCTCTTTCTCCTATAGGTTAAAACCTGGTTTCAGAATCGACGCGCTAAATGGAGAAGACTGAAACAGGTATCGACCTGGCTCTGTTTCTAGGGAAATAAATATTTTTATCATGTTATCTCAATGCGGGGCCTGTTATGGGTTGTATGCAAAAGTCATTTGAGAGACTATTTAACCTCTTCACCTTGATTAAAAAGGCAAATAGTCCTGCTGAAATTCAGGATGAGTTGCTCAGGTGGCAGTAATGCTAAAAGCACCTAATGCAGTTGCTATATCAATTATGCCTGGGTTTTCACACACTGGCTGGTAAAACTCCGGGCTAATTGTTTTATAAACCCCATATGTTGTTTATCTAATTAACGCAGGAAAGATAAAGTAATTGACAGTAAATGACTTAAGCAGTTATCTTTGGGAGAAAATTGTTTCTTTTATTTACACAGCCATAATAAAACTAGGCAGAGCTCAAGGGTAAATATAAGGAAATAAACACCTCTAAGTCTTGTTTGCACTGCTTTTTTTTTTTTTAGAAGAATTAAATATCAAAGAGTTTAAAATTATTTCCCATCTAATGCCAGCTCTTAAAATGAATATTAGACCCGCAGGAGAATATACAAGACTATTTGGAAAGTAGCTTAAAGTTACTAACAGTCTTTATTCCAATGACCTTGTTACGAAAGATGTGATAAAAAGTAAGGGCTAATTCAGTTTTTGAAAAACCTCTATTGACTTAAATCTAAAGATCTGCTTTTGATGTTCCAATGTGGGTGTCTTCTCCAAAGTTATCTGACAAATTGCTTTAATTGTTCATTTGCTAGTGTATATAGAGATTAGAATAAAATATTTTTGAAAACCATAATACGAGCGGGGAAATTGAAAGCAGTGTGCATTTTTAAATTTGGTGATCATAACTTTTTCATTAGAAATAAGATGGTGTCACAAAGAGCACTTTGAGACAGAAAATAAATTTCCCATAATTTCATTATTTTAACAGGATTTAAAAATCTGTAGATTCCCTCTCAATCTGACCTTGTACATTTATTTGTTTCTTAGTTGCAAGCCTGGTGAATATATTATTCTATAGTCTTGCTATAAAAAAACCCCTTGGGAATATTTCTTTGTAGTGTTTATGTCTATTTTAGACAAACAGAATTAAAAATTCACTCACTTATTCAGTTCTTGGTCAAAGTCTTGACTGCAATTTACCAGGGATTTTTAAACTAGTGGTTCCTGGGGCACCTGGGTGGCTCAATTGTTGAAATGTCTGCCTTCGGCTCAGGTCATGATCCCAGGGTCCTGGGATGGGGCCCCACATTGGGTTCCCTGCTCAGCAGAGAGCCTGCTTCTCCCTCTCTCCAGTGCTTGTGCTCTTTCTCTCTCTCTGTCAAAGTCTTTAAAAAAAAAAAAAAAAAAAAGTGGTTCCTTTGTAATATGGGAATATAGTTTCCAGAAATATCCCCTGGATTTTAAGTTAATTGTAGTTAATTTCCTCCCTTTACAGTTGGCAGCATTCTTCCAGTTCTGCATTTTTACCTTTGCCATGATTTTGTAACTTGTTAAGTGTATTTTTAAGTTTATAAATTTACAACAGAAAATGGATGAAAAAGGATTCAATTTAATAATTTTGAAACTTTCCCTTAATTCACTACTTAGCATTCATATTTTTTAAATGTCTGGAAGACCCTGTTAACCTGCAAGGTTTAAAAATACTTGAAGAATGAAGATCGTGTGTACTTGTAGTGCTCTAATCTCTCCTTCCTCTAAACTTTTAAGAATTTTGAGACCATGAGGATGGGCTGGAGCTAACTTCATTTGACACAATACAGTTAGTTATATTTGTGACTGGTTGTTCTTATCTGGCAAGAGAATGATCTTTATTTGATATGTCAGGCACTTTTCTTCCAAAATGAGAAAGAAGCACAAGTATGTATTTTCTGAATAAAGAGTATAGGTGAAAACAATAGATAAACTAAAGATTTTAAAGGTGATAATGAAAACACATTTTGATTTATGTCTCTTATGTCTTCATATTTCACAAGCCTACCAATTTCCACTTTCATTCCTTTCATTCAGGAGAACCCTCAAAGCAATAAAAAAGAAGAACTGGAAAGTTTGGACAATCCCTGTGACCAGAGGCAAGACTTGCCCAGTGAGCAGAATAAAGGTGCTTTGGATAGCTCTCAATGTTCACCCTCCCCTGCCTCCCAGGAAGACCTTGAATCAGAGATTTCAGAGGATTCTGATCAGGAAGTGGACATTGAGGGCGATAAAGGCTATTTTAATGCTGGATGATGATCACTGACATTGGCACATTCAGAAAACTGGACTTCGGACTAACATTTGCTACAGAAAATCTCAATAGACATACTGAAAAGCTATGAGAAAGGGAATAATTTTCTGGTATTCTGGAAATCTGAAATATTTAGTGGCTGGCTAAGCAGCAAACTTACACTGAAACCTTAATTTTGACTTAAATGGTTTATGTACTGATTGTAGGTTATATGATGAAGGGACTCTTCACTGTTTAAATTCCCCCTTTTTAAAGAAGTAAATTGTTTTTTCTATTTATAAAAAGCAATTTTGAACAGTTTGTTAAATTTTTAAGTTATAACTAAAGATTTTAATAAGATCTTCTTGAATGACTTTTTAATCTGTATCTACATCCCACTTAATGGAAAAGCAAAAGGGCACCTCAGATCCAGAGGTATGCCGTGGTAAAGGGGCCCACATTTCAGGCAGCCTTGGAATATTTTAAAAGGAACTTCCTTTACTTTTTATATTGTATTCTTATACTGCCTTAAATCCAATATGATCTCAGAGCTCCTGTCCAGGGGATGTGTGTGTTGTTTTTTTTTTTTTTGTCAGAGAGATATAGTCGATAAGAATCTTAAATGCTTGTTTTGCACTATCACTTAGTACCTTATATGACCAAGGTGTTAAGGGAATAGTACAGGGCAATTCAAGCAGAGAAACTGACTCGTTGGTGACTAAAATTAATCACAGATGAACTGGAAGTAGCAGGTTAATTAAATGTAAGTAGACTGTAGATATTGTGTTTTATATCAAACTGTTTATAATGTGTATATATAATTGTTCACTGTAAAAAAAATGACCAAAATGGTGTTTTTTTTTAAATGAGTAACTTGTGTATAAAATAAACCCGTCGATGGGACGACTGACCTCGAGGGGTCTCTCATTCTTCCAGTGAAACAAACGCACACCTCTCACCTTTCCTTTCAGCGCCTCCCAGGTCCCGGTGCCGCGCCGCTTTGGGCTGGGCGCGGGGGCGCGGGGTAGCGGGCGGATGGGCCCGGGGACGTAGATTTGGAACTTTCCCTCCAGGAGGAGGGGAGCTGGGGGCGGGGGAGGGGGTCGACGTGTGTGCGTCGCGGCAGGGGGACGTTCCCGGCTTCGGACACTGAGCGCCGCGGGTCTGAGACCCCGGTGCGCCAGGTGGCTGGAAAAGCCCGGGACGAGGCCGGCTGTGCAGGGGAGCGCGGGGCCGCCGAACCCCATCGATTTGCCTCGGCTCCCAGGCTGGTCCGGGCCGCCGTCCTTGACCGGCGTGAGTCAACACTGCGTCATCCCTTGGCGGCTAAGCCCGGGTAGGGGGGTCCGCGGAGGGGTGAGGGGGGTAGCCTGCCGGGGGAGAGCGGGGCAGTAGCTGGTGTGGAGACCGCTGGTCTCAAGTTTCGGCGAGCGTCACAAGCGCCCGCAGAGCTTCTCGAAACCCTTGGCCAACCGTGTCGCCAGAGTTTCTGACTTGGTAGGTCTGGGGTGGGACCGGGAATTTGCACTTCAGCACGTGCTCAGGTGATGTCAGAGCTGCTGGGAGGAGGACCGTGCTTTGAGAACCGCCATTCTAAGCGCTCCTCGAGTAGAAGCAGGTGGGCCCGCATACCCCCTCACTCCCTTCCCACCTGCTTCGCTTCTCCCAATAACTCCTCCCAGTGTGGGAGCAAGGTGCCGGGAGGAATGAAATGGAGAAAGAGGGAAGCGGGGCGGGGCGTCTAGGCCGGTGGGAGCCAGAGTTGGCTTGGGACCCTGGCAGGCCGGAGGAAGGGCTACTGTGAGAGGGGAGAATGGCAGTGCCAGGTAAGGGGGGTGTGGGGCTGAGAGGAAGGATGGCCTGAGGTTTCTGACTGGCCCAGCTGCTTGCCTAGTGGAGCCATCAGGTCCCTGACATTCCAGGAAAATGACATTCCGGGCCTGTTGGAGGAGAGATACAGAAATCTCTTCCTCTAGTCTGGGCCTGCATGGAAGCCTCTAGTTGTTTGTGGCGGTGGGTGCCTCCTGACTGAGGGCCCCTGATGGAATGACTCTGCCCCTGGTGTGGCTGACCAGGGCTATGGCTCCCCAGACATGGGCACTCCAGTGAAGATAGAGTGAAAAGGTTATTGCTTTTAGGGAGTTGTTACAACCTGCCTTCTTCGATTCCAAGAAGGCCTCTGGAAATGCAAATTTGAATTTCTGAGAAAACTAGCACCAGGTCCTTAAGCAGAGAGGTGTGAATAGGCCTGGAAGTTTAATAATTTGGGTTGGAGTTTCAGTTCTTGGCCTCAGTTCTCTCCTCTGTGGAATGGAGATGGTCTAGTTGACCTATGTGATCCTTTCCAGCCCCCAAATTCCCAACTCAGTTCAAGCTCTTTATCTTTATGGTTCCCCTTATTCTCTGTGTCTTCTCAGTGTTGGAGCCAAAGTAGACCTAGTAGCTGCAGGTTCCAGACTCTCAGATTCTGCCTGACAGTTTACCTCTAGGTTTCAAGGGTTATAATCAGTCTCGTTGGAAAATGGGACTATCAGACTTTTGGAGAATGGGAGGCTTGTGGGCCTAATAATTGAATTAAAGCAATCCTGAAATCAGTTCGTGTGTGTTTTGCTCTTGGAGATAACCTCTGGTTAATGTTTATTCTTGAGAATAACTGTATCATGATGATGAGGCTGAGAAATACAGGCTTATGTATTGATTGACACTAGAAAAGTTGAAGGGTGAAATACTGTTTTAAAGTAGACAGTTTCTTGAATCCAGGATGTTTTCTAGCTTAAAGTTATTCCTAACCCTTCTTCCAGTTGCTCATATTCTGAATTTAAACATAGTCTTAAGAATCAAGAGTATGTACACCAGAGAAGTACGTATTCTCAGGGTACGGGTTGGCATTAACTGTCTTCAAAATGCCCCATTGCAGATTGCCAATGGATATTTACAAATTCTTCCTACAATCCAGGCATTTTTTCATTTGTTTGTCTTTTGGCTATTTCATGTTGAAGCAGCATGTATGACCTTTACAGCACAACTCCTGTCTTGTTTTTAACTCTTTTTATCAGGAGATTCAACTTGAAAACGGTTATCATTTAGCAGAAAGACAAACAGAAAAGCACATTTTTGTAAGCAAAACGTTAATGATTGGAAGAATTGCCCTAATTTCACCATGACAGTGTGTGATTAATCCCCTGGGTCATGTACTTATACTTTAAGTTATTCAGTTCGTTGGTCTTTGATATTCAGAAGCCTTTCTAACTTAATAGGATATTGATTTTGTTGGATGATGTACTTTGACTCTTTAAACAACATCACTTTTAGGGATGACTAGCCTGCTGTGTAGTATTTTATTTAGAGAACTATTGCATAAGGTTTCTTTTTCTTGCTTTTTATGGTTTTCTCAGGGTGAAAGCTGATAAAACATCTTGTGGGAAAAGAGGAAACCATCTCTGATAGTGAAAGTACCTATTCTCTTTCAACATTTCTGACAACCTTTTTTTTTTTTCCTTTGGTGGTTTCATTGCTGTGAATATTCATTTTACTTAATGGAGGCAGGGCAGAGATTCAAGAAAATGTATTTGGACTTGGGGGAAGTGCACTTTGATGAGGATAGACTGCCCTTACCAAAATTCCCATTCCAGTTACACGGCCTTGTGGAACTCAGGTTCAAAAGCTCACCCTTTCGATTTTTCTTTAAAATCTAATAATCCATGATCTTTTAACTCTGTGAGTGGAGGTGAGACTTTTGTGACTCTTGACAACATGGGACAGAGTGTGGAGAACCAGTCACCCAGGATGCTTCTAAATGGTTAGGAATCTGGTATCTTGTAGTAAAAACAATCAGATGTTGTCCCAACATTTCCTTTCCTTCACTTTGGTTTTCATGAAATTCCAGCTGGACTCTGTATTTGTCTAATGGAATTCTGTTCCTTGAATCATTTTTTGGTATGGTTAAATCCAAACAACAAGCATTTTGGAGATTCCTATCACCCACCAAAATATCTGAGATCCAAGGTTCAGAACTGCAGCTACCCCTTCAGGTCTGGCTGAGAGGACCCCAATGTCAGGAATTATACCATCATGGCTAAGAGCTGGGCTGGAAGAATGGTTCTTCCATTCTTCCATTCCCAACCATTCTGGTTGGGGGCCTTGGGAAATGTGAATTCTCAGTGCAATTCCTAGAGAGGTGGGCTGTTCTCCTGAGAGCAAATATCATCCCTGGGATACAGTGGGCGCCAAGTGTTAGCTAGAAAAACTAGAAAGCCCTCACTGACTCTCTTCTTTTAAGGTAGCTCTTTGATTCGTGGTGGTAAAGCTCTTCAGTCAGATGTACACAAATCTCTGCAGACAATGGAGAGGGCTGCGGGGAGGAGACCTTGGAGCTGGCAAAGGCATTTCCTGTCTGCGGAGGATCTTGACTTTGGAGCATCCGGCGATTGCCGCGAGGTTTTCAAGGGGGCTGAACACTTTTCCGTGTAGCTACTTAAAAAAAAAAAGAAGAGAAAAAAGAAAAGGGGAGGGAAGGTCGCAGCCAATTTCAAGCGATTTTCCAGATGAAAGCCCATGAGACAGCTTCTCATTTAAAAAAAAGAAGAAGAAGAAAGAAAGAAAAAAAAGCATATTTTCTAATCATTAGAATTTTTTCTAATTTGAAAGGGAAGTTTGGTATCATTCAGAATCTTATTCAAAAATCTCATCACCCTCCAAAGACAACTGCAGGAAAATGTTAACGGTATGACCCTCCCAAGATACTTGCAGGAAGAGAAATAAATGCCTGTTGAGTTTGTCTCCATGAAACTTGTTTATATTTTTCTTTTGTAGTTTAATTCTGCCCTTCATCCTTCCTTGCCTATTTGTTTCTTTTTAATCATTTCCTTTCTCCACTCCACCTACTCGCACCCCTGCCCCCTTTCAGGATTTCTCTTCCTCATTCATTTTATTTCCCCATTAAGAATAAAAAATGACTAGTCTCAGTTCTTTAGATGTCACAATTAGGGCCAAGATTTTCTTCAAATATACAGAAATGTTCAGTTTTCAGATGGAAATTCTAGGTTTGAGGAAGATGTTGCTAGACTCCTAACACACGACCCTCATCCCTCCAAAGACACTTCTTTAGTTTAGCTTTTTTCCCCCCGGCCTTTTGGACCAGGATAAGTAATAATAGTGAAAGTAATGATATTTGTCCCTCTGGAATGCCTGGGTGGCTCAGCTGGTTAAGCATTCTACTCTTGATCTCAGATCAGGTCTTGAGCTCAGGGTCCTGAGTTCAAGACCCACCTGGAGCCTATTTAAGAAAATAATAATATTTATCCCTCTAGGAGTTAAGCCCTGAGTAGGGTTGGGATGTGATGGGCATGATGGGGGCGGGGGGAGGGTAGGGAAGGAGAGTGGGTTGGGGTTGGGGGTGTGTGTGTGCTGGAGATGAAAGGGGGCAGGGAGTAAGTATGACTAGAATCTTCAGAGGTTTATGACTCCAGAATTTTGAAGAAGTAATTATGGAGTGGTATTGTCCACCTCCAGTCACACAGATTTCTTGGCTTTTTTTTTTTTTTTTTTAAGATTTTATTTATTTATTTGACAGACAGAGATCACAAGCAGGCAGAGAGGCAGGCTGAGAGAGAGAGAAGGGGAAGCAGGCTCCCTGCTGAGCAGGGAGCCCAATGCGGGGCTCAATTCCAGGACCCTGAGATCATGACCTGAGCGGAAGGCAGAGGCTTAACCACTGAGCCACCCAGGCGCCCCAATAAATAAAATTTTAAAAATGTTAAAAAAAAATAAATCTGAAAGGACTTACAATATGGTATAGGAGATACACAGTTTCTGTCTCTGTAGCCCATCATTCTATTTTGCCAGGAAACCAATAAACTGGAGCACGATTCCAGTTTTCTGAGGACCCAGGCATTATAAAATATGCTTCATGCTT